TCAAATTCAGGAAATACAGAGACCATCACTAAGATACTCTGTGAGAAGAGCAACCCCAAGACATACAATCATCAGATTCATCAAGGTTGAAATCAAGGAAAAACTTAAGGGCAGCCAGAGAGAAAGGTCAGGTCGCCCACAAAAGGAAGCCCATCAGAATAACAGGGGATCTGTCTGCAGAAGCCCTATAAGACAGAAGAGAGTGGGAACCAATATTCAATATTCTTAAAGAATTTTCAACCCAGAGTTTCACATCCAACCAAGCTAAGCTTCATAAGCAAAGGAGAAATAAAATTCTTTCCAGACAAGCAAATGTTGAGAGATTCTGTTACCACCAGGCCTGCCTTAAAAGAGCTCCTGAAGGAAGCACTAAATATGGAAAGCAAAAACCGCTACCAGCCACTGCGAAAACATACCAAATTGCAAAGACCATCAAAACTAGGAAGAAACTGCATCAGCTAATGAACAAAATAACCAGCTAGCATCATGATGAAAGGATCAAATTCACACATAACAATATTAACTTTATATGTAAATGAGCTAAATGCCCAATTAAAAGACACAGAGTGACAAACTGGATAAAGCTTAAAGACCCATTGGTGTGCTGTGTTCAGGAGACCCATCTCACATGCAAAGATATACCGAAGCTTAAAATGAAAAGATGAAGGAATATTTAACAAGCAAATGGAAAGCAAAAAAAAAAAAAAAAAAAAAAATTGGGGGGGAGTTGCAATCCCAGTCTCTGATGAAACAGACTTTAAATCAACAAAGATCAAAAAAGACAAAGAGGGGCATTACACAATGGTAAAGGAATCAACACAATGAGAAGAGCTAACTATTCTAAATATATAAAAACCCAATACAGAAGCACCCAGATTCATAAAGCAAGTTCTTAGAGACCTACAAAGATACTTAGACTCACACACAAAAATAGTGGGAAACATTAACACACTACTGTCAATATTCGACAGATCAACAAGACAGAATATGAACAAGTTTAGGACTTGAACTCAGCTCTGGACCAAGAGACCTAACAGACATCTACAGAACTCTCCACCTCAAATCAACAGAATATTTTCTTTTCAGCACCATATCACACTTATTCTAAAATTGACCACATAAGTGGAAGTAAAACACTCCTCAGCAAATATAAAAGAACAGAAATCACAACAGTCTCTCAGACAACAGTGTAATCAAATTAGAACTCAGGATTAAGAAAAATCACTCAAAACTGCACAACTGCATGGAAACTGAACAACCCGCTCCTGAATGACTACTGCATAAATAATGACATTGAGGCAGAAATATGTAAGTTCTTTGAAAACAATGAGAACAAAGACAAAATGTACCAGAATCTCTGGGACTCAGCTACAGCAGTGTTTAGAGGAAATTTACAGCACTAAATGCCCACAAGAGAAAGCAGAAAAGATTGAAAATCAACACCCTAAAACTACAATTAAAATAACTATAAAAGCAAGAGCAAACAAATTCAAAAGCTGACAGAAGACAAGAAATAACTAAGATCAGAGCGGAACTGAAGGAGATAGAGACACAACAAAACTCTTCAAAAATCAATGAATCCAGGAGGTGTTTTTTTTTAAAAGATTAACAAAATAGATAGACCACTAGCCAGATTAATTAAGAAGAAAAGAGTGGAGTCAAATAGACACAATATAAAATGATAAAGGAATATGACCACTGATCCCACAGAAATACTAACTACCATCAGAGAGTACTACAAACACCTCTGCACAATAAACTAGAAAATCTAGAAAAAATTGATAAATTCCTGGACACATCCACCCTCCCAAGACTAAACCAGAAAGAAGTCAAATCCATGAATATACCAAAACAAATTCTGAAATTGAGGTAGTAATTAATAGCCTACCAACCAAAAAAAGCCCAGGACTGGATGAATTCACAGCCAAATTGTACCAGAGGTACAAAGAAGAAGTGGTACCACTCCTTCTGAAACTATTACAAACAACAGAGAAAGAAGGACTCCTCCCTAACTCTTTTTATGAAGCCTGTATCATCCTGATACCAAAACCTGGCAGAGACACAACAAAGAAAGAAAATTTCAGGCCAATGTCCCTGATGAACATCGATACAAAATTCCTCAATAAAATAATGACAAACTGCAACTAGCAGTATATTGAAAAGCTTATCCATCCCGATGAAGTCAGCTTCATCCCTAGGATGCAAAGCTGGTTCAACATACGCAAATCAATCAGTGTAATCCATCACATAAACAGATACAGTGACAAAAACCACATAATTATCTTAAAAGATGCAGATAAAATCCAACACCTCTTCATACTACAAACTCTCAATAAATTAGGTATTGATGAAACCTGTATCAAAATAAGAGCTCTTTATGACAAACCCACAGCCAATATCATACTGAATGGGCAAAAACTGGAAGCATTCCCTTTCTAAACAGGCACAAGACAAGGAGCCCTCTCTCACCACTCCTACTCAACATAGCATTGGAACTTCTGGCCAGGGCAATCAACAAGAGAAAGAAATAAAGGGTACTGAAACAGGTAGAGAGGGAGTCAAATTGTCTCTGTTTGCTGATGACATGATTGTATACTTAGAAAATCCCATTGTCTCAGCCCAAAATCTCCTTAAGCTGATAAGCAACTTCAGCAAAGTCTCAGGATACAAAAATCAACATGCAAAAATCGCAAGCACTCCTATGCACCAATAATAGACAAACAGAGAGCCAAATCATGAGTGAACTCCCATTCACAATTGCTACAAAGAGAATAAAATACCTAGGAATACAACTGACAATGAATGTGAAGGACCTTTTCTAGGAGAACTACAAACCACTGCTCAAAGAAATAAGAGAGGACACAAGCAAAGGGAAAAACATCCCATGCTCATGGATAGGAAGAAACAATATCTTGAAAACGGCCATACTGCCCAAAGTAACTTATAGATTCAATGGTATCCCCATCAAGCTACCATTTACTTTCTTCACAGAATTGGAATAAAACTACTTTGAATTTCATATGGAACCAAGAAAGAACCCACATAGCCATGACAATACTAAGCAAAAAAGAACAAAGCTGGAGACCCTATGCTACCTGACTTCAAACTATACTACAAGGCTATAGTAACAAAGACAACATGGTACCAGTACCAAAACAGAGATATAGACCAATGAAACAGAACAAAGGCCTCAGAAAGAACACACATCTACCACCCATCTGATCTTTGACAAGCCTGATAGAAACAAGCAATGGGAAAAGGATTCTCTATTTAATAAATGGTGTTGGGAAAACTGGCTACCTATATGTAGAAAACTGAAACTGAACCCTTCCTTACACCTTATACAAAAATTAACTCAAGAGAGATTAAAGACTTAAATGTAAGACCTAAAACCATAAAAACCCTAGAAGTAGACCTAGGCAATATCATTCAGGACATAGCCATGGGCAAAGACTTCATGACTAAAACACCAAAAACAATGGTAACAAAAGCCAAAATTGACAAATGGGATCTAATTAAACTAAAGAGCTTCTGCACAACAAAAGAAACTCTCATTGGAGTGAACAGGCAACCTACAGAAATGGGAGAAAATTTTTGCAAACTATCCATCTGACAAAGGGCTAATAACCAGAATCTACAAAGAACTTAAACATATTTACAAGAAAAAACAACCCCATCAAAAAGTGGGCAAATGATATGTACAGATGCTTCTCAAAAGAAGATATTTATGCAGTCAACAAAAATATGAAAAAAAGCTCATCATCACTGGTCATTAGAGAAATGCAAATCAAAACCCCACTGAGATACCATCTTACAGCAGTTAGAATGGCCATCATTAAAAAGTCAGGAAACAACATGTACTTGAGAGGATATGGAGAAATAGGAATATTCTTACAGTGTTGGTGGGAGTGTAAATTAGTTCAACCATTGTGGAAGACAGTGTGGTGATTCCTTGAGGATCTAGAACCAGAAATACCTTTTGACCCAGCAATCCCATCACTGGGTATATACCCAAAGGATTACAAATCATTCTACTACAAAGACACATGCACATGTATATTTATTGCAGCACTACTCACAATAGCAAAGACTTAGAGCCAAGCCAAATGCCCATATATGACAGACTGGATAAAGAGAATGTGGCACATAAACACCATGGAATACTATGTAGCCATAATTAATAAATACTGTGTGTTTGATTATGTCACTGAAAAAAAAATCATCTTTTACTTAGAAAAAGTAGAATAAAATCATCTTCACTAATAAGAAAAATCATTTATTCCAGCATAGAAAATAAAAACCCTAAGTTCAGACCTTGGACAGCTATTAATTACAAAGAAAAATTAGAAAATAGCATACCTTAAATGTAATAAAGTATATAAATTCATTAATAAAATTTTAAACAATACTCAGTTCTATGCAAGTGTACAAATCAAATGTTATTTTCATACTCAGTAACATCTCACACAACAGAGATCTCAACTGAGTAAAGGCTGTATATTTTCATTTTTGCTAGACAATCTAGAACGGTTATTTAAAACAAATATATTGCAAGGTGTCTATATGTAAGCAGAAAGAACTAATACTTCTAGACAAAGTAAATATCATTAAAATAAGATATTTCAATCAATTTTATACCAACCATAGTTTTGAATATCAGACAGTACAAAACATAACAGTACACTTCATTCAAACCCAAATCTGAAACTTTTGAATTACGTATTTCTTCAAGTTATAGGTCACTAATTGTCAAAATAATAATCCTTTGATATTTTTTTAAACAGATGAAATTTGCTGTTTTTCCCTAGGTAAATGCCAGACTATAGTATAATATCTAAAAAATACGATTAAATTAGTTTAATTACTTGATGTTGACTTGATATAAGTCACTGCTCTTTAATGCAAAAACTGCCACTTGCAATTAATGGTTGTTGGTACTGCTTCAATTGATCAAATGCCTAATACACATAAAACATTCAAAGAAGTTCTGTATATCTTACAGCAATTCAGTGGAGAAGTCTTGTCCCAGGGGTATGTAAATCTGGAGTACAAGAAACCTCTGGATCAATCCAACTAGAATGAGAGGGGGAAATATATATTCAAATGTTCAAAGCATTTATATATATGTGCATATAAACAAACACAATCACATACCATCAACAAGCTGAAACTTTTAACATTTTGGTAATACACAGAACTACAATAGCAATACCTATGAATTATAATCTCATTATGAAAATAAAAAAATTGATGAAAATAAAATCAAACTCACAACAAATGTTGTTCAAAGTCCCATCTGTGGCCTTGGTGAACTTTTTATTAAAATTTTTAAAATAATAAGTTTTTATTTACTATTTTTATTAGGTTGCAAGAGAATGTACACATAGAACTGCATTCAATAGAGACATATAAAATTGAACTATAGATTCCCTTCAAGGCAGCCACAAAAGCATGTGGCAATTATTTTCATTCACTGGCAGTTTTAACTGTACTAAACAACTTAATAAAAAACAACAGATCAAGAAAAACAATTCTAATTATGACAACTATAACTAAAGGTTTGATGAGCCATAGCTAATTAATATGGTTTAAAATATGTCCACAATGAGATTAATAGAGGAACATATTTTCATTTATACCTTTTGTTAATTAACATATATTTAATTAATTTAATGTTCACTAAGCACTGACAGCTTTTATTCCCTATTACTACCTTCATCTGGATTAAAAATATTTGCGGAGAAACCAGTCCCTATAGCACTTTTGATAGCTGAAGTCTACAACTGCTTAAAAAATCAATTGATTTTATATTACCTCTCCAGACCTGTTCATCTAATGCCTTTCCTCTTAGGTTTTGAACTTTTGCTTGCTCTCTCAATTATGGTGCTCTTAACAGATGTGTTTAGTATGACACTTCCTAAAACATGCAATTTACAAACGTATTTTCCTGCTATGGAACTTTGGGTAGAAAATGAAGATGTCTTGATTGATCTCTCCTGCAAAGCCAATAGTACAGACCAGCACATGGATTAAAGATAAAAAAAGGCAACTTGTCTAAAACTCATGCTATTTATATTATTCCAACCTAGTAGGTTTAACAAATAAGGGATTTTAAAGTAACAACACATTTTTGGACAGTCTATATAAAGAACTTCTGGTTTATGACTCCCATTTTGCAATATTCCTGAACAACTTAAACAGTTCTTATGTTTATCCCAAATTTACTTTCTAAATAAACATATTTGATCAAATATGCATAACATTTTTATCAAACATACAGGGATAACTTTTACTTAAAATGCATAACATTTTTATCAGACATACAGGGATAACTTTTACTGACGGCCAGAAAGCCATCAGTAGATTAAGTAATGTAATAGAAATAGGAGATAACAGGCTTTGACCCTAGAAAATTCTTTAGAAATCTGATTTTACCATATTTATGGGAAAAGCCAGTGAGGTAACCAGAGCTCTGGTCTACAATAGCAAAGTGAGATACCAAAATGAGGTCAACTTAAATAAACCATCCTCAATCAATCTCGCTTGCATCTTGCATTGATTAGTCCCACAGTATTTTGCCATTGCACAATGACCTCTGTAAATAGAGCTAAGAGATCAGCAGGATAAGTGAAACCAGTCTTTAGAAAAGGTCCCTAATTTATGTCATAAATCTCACTGAATCAGCACTGTTCTCTTCAAACACAAAGAGTTACACACACCGGGCATTTTTTATGAGCATTTTTAGATATAAAAGAATTATACCCTCATAAAAAGAAAGCTTTGTAATTCAACTTTCTCACATATCTCCCTAGTTTCCAAAAGGCTTCATTTCTAAGATTAAAAGAAATATGCGATACCATATGGTGATGATCTGACCAAAAAAAGTACTTTAACAACATTTGACACAGACTGATCCTATATGTCAGATACTAAATAAATTCTATAGTAACTTTTCTTTTCTAGTGGCTTAGTATATTTAAACTGGCTATTCATGTCTACACTATATTTAAAAATCACTCTAAGTAATGCTGAATGTGGAAATTCTGTCAAAAAATGTCTATCAAGTAATAAAATTCATAAAAATTTAGTTTCTTCCTGAAATATGCAGCTTTTTACAGTTTTATAATATGTTGTCTTCCAGAAACAAACTACCTATTTTTTCTCCCACTTCAACACCCAAAACAGGAATCAGTTATCCCTTCATTATGGGCTATTCCACATCCCTTGAGCAACTTAGAAAACCTTTGTGGGCCCTTTTACTTTTCATCTGGGTTAGAATCAACTAGCTAATCTTTTAAAACTGGGTTAATAATTTAGGTTTACAACACATAGAATTATTTATATGGATTAAATTAGGTCTATCATGCAATAAAGATTACTGAGCATATACTATGTACGAGACTCAATGCTGAAGTTTTTGCAGTAAATAAAACATACATGGTCTCTGCCTTTTAAAATTTATATGCTAGTACCATGAAGGAGAAGGTCAGGGTGTTATGAAAGGATATAACCCTGGTCCTTGAAGGGGAAGAGGATGATTAGTGAAGATTTTCTTGAAGGAAAAGCACTGAAACTCAACTGGGATGAATACACAGGAACTGACTGGGCAAGTGGGATGGGTGTAGGAGGAACGAATGTTGCTGGCGGAGGAAGTACTCCATCCTATGATGGTAAAGAATGGAGTAGATTGGATAAACCTAAAAAGGGGTTAAAGGGCTGCTAGGAGAGACAAAAGAGGAAATGTAGCAGGAGACAGGTCTGACAAAATAGAGACAAATCCAATTATGTGGGGTCTTGAAGATCATGTGAAGAATATAAGTCATCCTAAAATCAATGGTAAACCACTCATACATTCATTCATTTATTTGACAAAGATTTAGTGAATGTCTATTCTGGGGGAAAAATGCTCTAGGTAGAGGGTACGCTCCATGCATGGATGCCAAGGTGATAGTGCACTGGGCTACATTTCAATATGGCAATGGTACATGTATAGTTGGAACACCATGAACAAGAAAAAGAGCAATAGGAGATAGGTCAGAATTATGAAGGGCACCGGATCCTGCAGAGTCCTATAGGTTTGTAGGTTTTAATCTGAGAGAGATGGGACATTTTTAGTGGAGGAGTAATATGATTTATGTTTCTTAAAATTTAAAAATATTACTCTGGCTGCTAATTTGATAACAGATTGTATAGAGAGGCCAAGTCAGAAACAGGGAGACCAATTAGAAAGTTACTACAATAATCCAAGCATGAGCTAATGGTGGCTTTGACCAGTAGCATCGGATGTACCAAGAGGTGATCAGATTCTCAGTCTGTTTTAAACATAGTGTCAACAAAACCTTCCAGAAAGACTGAATGAAGAGAAAAAAACCAAACCTGATTTAAAACCTTTTTTTCTAAGCAACTGAAAAGATTAAGTTGCTAACAGCAGAAATGGGGCAGCCTGCAGGAGGAGGATTCTTGAGGAATAAAGACCAGAAATTAGGCATTGGACAATACTATATTTACGCGGTCCAAGCATAGAAATGACAAATAAGTAAGATGATATTCAAGAAGTTTAGAGTTTAGGAGAGAGGTTAAGTTGAAAATGTAAGCTAGAATAAGGCAGAGATGACATTGAGATCCATGTGCCGGAAGCTGATAACCAAAGGAATAAGTGTAGATACAGTACCAAGGACTGATTCCAGGGGCACTGCAACATTAAGTCGAGTTGGGGAAAAGAGGAAGAACTACACAATGAGGCTAAGAAAGAACAGTGAAACAGGAAAAAAACTAGGAGTATGGACATCCTGGATATGAGTGAGGAAAACATAAGAAGGTGGTGTCAACTTTCTCAAATGCTACTAATATGTAAAGTAAGGTGAGGACTGAGAACTGTCCACTGGATTCAGGAAAATAGAGGCAGGTCAAAGCCATTGAGGGGTTTTAAACACAGAAAGTCACGACAAGATAAAAATGATACTGAAGTAGGGGCCTGAAGAGGGCTGGGGAAACCTCATACGGGTGACCTCATCCTCCAGAGCAGCTGAAAAGAACAATGCCAGGCTTCAGGGATGCTAATCCCTCCAGACACATCATTTTATTCAGATGCCACAGGCAGAGAAAACAATGGTTTCAAATATGAGCCTCCAACAGAAAGCTCTGAAGAAGACCCTCTGAATGACACATGTGTGACAGAGCTGCTTCTCATATGGGCAACTCTATTTAACATGTTCCAGGGTGAAGAGCAGCAGGGATTTATTTATTTAGCTGGTGAAGGGTTTGCTCAAGTCTCATTATCAAGGCCAGCTTGTTACAATGAAAAATTAGGACCCAAATTGTCATAGTTTCATAATATGGCAAATTTAACAAACTTATTGAACAGCAACCATGTACCAGGTACTAAGGAGTAAAAGAAGATGATTCAGGAAGATACCTGCCAAAGAGAAGCGCACAGTCTGATAAGTAATATCACATATCACAATATCCTTTATTTTGTGTTTGAGATCTCAAATACAAGTTAAATCAGAAATATGATTTCAAATGAAACGTTAAACATACTTAATTTTATCACCAAACTTTATTCCAAATACTACCTAATAAAGTCAGAAACACAATAGGGTGCCTAATGTCAACTTTGCATAAATAAAGTGGATGTTTACTTTTAAAATAGGAATACATAATGGTAATTGAATTTAGAAATGTTAATTAAAAGCCAATTCTCTATTCAAGGCATGTCATTTAATTTAAATTTAACCATACCAACTTCACATAGAAGGTCGTTTTACATAAGTAAAAACAACTATAAATTTCTGTTATCAAAAATTCCAAATAATTAACCTTAAAGGCATTAGTGCAGGGCAGACTACATAAATTGTTTCATTTGTTACAGTGTTACACATGATATAGAAAAGCCAGATTAATTTTTGATTATAGGGCATTGTACAAGAAATACATTAAAAGATTCTTCTGTTTCTTGGGTTTTTTAAACAATTAAAACCATCATCTTTCCATTTAAAAAAGTAATTATGACACATTAAACTTGGTTTGTTTCTTAAAAAAAAAACCTTCTGATAAAAACAGAAAAGCAGAGCTTGTATTTAATCATTTAGCCTTTAGTAGAGGAGGAATCTTTCTCAGAATCAAATGACAAAGGTTACTAAAAGTGATTGATTTTATTAATAAGGTGACCATGTGCATGGATGCTGAGTGCACTAAATGAAAACACAGGTGGGCTTTATAAGTTAAGAAAGAAAACAAAAGAAGTAACACTGGCTTAGAACAAAGTCATGTTCCTGAAAGTCAAATGTATCCATCTGTCTTACAAAATCAACATCCTTAAAAAGATGGCCTGTGTCTCTTGTAACAAGATGAAACTACAGTTTCATACAGGTTTCCCTGGATCATCTTTGTTCACCTCATTTGTAAGTATAAATATATATGGAAATGCAAAACACCTGCTATTGCAGACACACACAAACTATTAAGAAAGCATAATCTTTAAATGGCAGTAAATTAAAAATTATTTTTAATGATAATTATCTCTTCTTTCCAGTCTCTTAGTTTAGAAAGAAACATTTGCAAACCACTTTAAAATAAATCATATTTCATCTATAACTTCTATAGTTAGTTTATGTCTTAGAAATCTAAAATATGCATGCAGTAGCTTAAAATGGTACAAATGTTACATAAAGTACAGAACCTATATAAATTTAGAAAACGGACTTAAAATTATAAAATCAGGTACCAACAACAGGTCTTTCTATAGAGCTTCCTGCATGGTAGGTATTCAGTAAATGTCCTAATGAATGAAGGAATAAGTAAATGATAAATACAAAAAACAACTATTTCTATTTTCTAAATCACTTGAAATTTAGATTTAAAACATAGGACATAGTTGATGAAAAATCTAGTTAATCATTCTGATAAATCATTTTCCTTAAATCAATCGGTTTACTCAAATTTAGTGGCAGAGCCTTAAATTGTAACTCTATCTCTGCTAATAACTGGGCTTCTGATAAATTTGGGTCTCAGAGTTTCTTCTGCTCTAAAATGCTGACCTTAATTTCTACAGTAAATAAGAATTTAAATAGATTCTTTGGGTTTTTGTTAATCACGTATTCATATCTATACTTTAATTGGAGATTAATATTAAAAGGTAATAAGTGTATGAGTTGACACGTCACTAAATAATTCTTTTTATCAGCTGGGCACAGTGGCTCATGTCTGTAATCCCAGAACACTGGGAGGCCGAGGTGGGCAGATCATGAGTCAGGAGATAGAGACCAATCCTGGTCAACTAGTGAAATTCCATCTCCACTAAAAAAATACAAAAATTAGCCAGGTGTGGTAGTGTGCATCTATAATCCCAGGTACTCAGGAGGCTGAGGCAGGGGAATCGCTTGAACCAGGGAGATGGAGATTGCAGTGAGCTGAGATCGTGCCACTGCACTTCAGCCTGGTGACAGAGCTGTTGCTATTCACTTGGGGTGGCTAGCAATATTAATTATTATGAAAAGTTATAGATTGTAATCTCAGACCTTTTGGAAGGCCAAAAAGTTTTATTGAGGCAGGTTGAAGGCAGCCGCCTCATTAACATTAGCTAAGAAAGAGACAGAGAAGATCAAAGACCTTACCCCACATCCCTTTGTCTCCACTCTAACTGCTTATTCTTGTTAATTTTGTGCTGGGGGGCCCTCTCTGGCTAAGATCAAAGGGGAATTACCTGTTAGCCTTTACTCTGGGCAACCAGAACCTAAAGCTTTTACCAGTCATAAAACTGTTCTCTTAACCATGTTAATTATCCACAAGTGTGTTAACTTAGAACCTCTATTATAAAATCTTGAGGGAATAAATGTGTGGAAGAACAGGTAGTCTTGGTCAATTGGTTGCATTTCACCCTCTGAAAGCAGCCAACGGCCATCCCTAGCCCACTTGAAACACTGTAATGGTGTGAGAGTGGATTCATTCATCTGTCCTTGAGTCAGGGTCCACAGGAGGTGACCGCCATCTCACAGAGCAAGACTCTGTCTCAAAATAATAAAATAATGACAATAATAATAATAATGCTTTATATCACATTTCTGATGCATTTTTTTCTCACAAATTAATTTCTTATAATTTAGGAACCCTGATTTCAAAGTTTAGCCTTGATGAGGAATCAATCTAGGTTTGTTCGTTTGTAAAAGAACTATTATGAGGATTAAGAGTTCATAAATATTAAATGCTTACAAAGCTCCTCGCACACAGTCAGTGCTCAATAAATACTATTATTATCATAATTAATGGCTGCTAAATACTCTTCTAAATCTTCTTTAAAATACTAGATTTCTAGAAGATGGTGAGGTAAATACATATATATACATACACATATGTGTATATATATGTGTGTGTGTATATATGTATGTGTATATATGTATACACATATATATATGTGTGTGGGTGTGTGGGTGTGTGTGTGTGCATATATATATATATTTTTTTTTAAGAAGGAATCTCACTGCTGCCCAGGCTGAAGTGCAGTGGCACAATCTCAATCTCAGCTCTCTGTAACCTCTGCCTTTCGGGTTTAAGTGATTCTCCTGTCTCAGACTCCTGAGTTCAACTGATTCTCTTGCCTAAGCCTCCTGAGCAGCTGGGACTACAGGCACAAGCCACCATAACTAGCTAATTTTTGTATTTTTAGTAGAGACTGGGTTTCACCATATTGGCCAGTCTGATGTGGAACTCCTGACCTTGGGATCCACTTGCCTCAGCCTTCCAAAGTGCTGGGATTATAGGCATGAGCCACTGGCCATATTTTTTAAAAGGCCTAGTATAGTGCCTAGCATACAGTTACATTCTAAATTAAAAAAAAAAATTCTATCACCTTACATAAACAGATGCCAGTAGAAGTCATACTAAAATGCCTGTTTATGAGACATAAAAAGCATAACTTTGAGTCCAAAATATTAAATTTCAATATTAAAAATATTACTTACGGATTTGCTTATTTTCCTTTGGTAATTGAATTTTATTTGTTTGGCTGCTGCCTTCCAGGACAAACACAAAACTTTTAACTTCTTTATCAAACTCCTGTAGAACAAAATGAAAACAGTAGTTATCAAAGGATATTTTATTTGGCTTCTACTATAAAATTGAAACTTCATCCCAGCACTTTGGGAGGCCGAGGCGGGTGGATCACTAGGTCAAGAGATCGAGACCATCCTGGTCAACATGGTGAAACCCCATCTCTACTAAAAATATAAAAAAAAATTATTAGCTGGGCATGGTGGCACGTTCCTGTAATCCCAGCTACTCAGGAGGCTGAGGCAGAATTGCCTGAACCCAGGAGGCGGAGGTTGCGGTGAGCCAAGATCGCGCCATTGCACTCCAGCCTGGGCAACAAGAGCGAAACTCCGTCTTAAAAAAATAAAAAAATTGAAACTTCATAGCTACAGGGAAAAGAATCCCATATTCAAATGACTTAAAAGTAGGCTCAGACTGTAGTACTCTTCTTCTGAGATGTGCTGGGAACTAGAATACAGAGGCTTGGTGAAAGGACAAAGTGCAAGGGCATTCGAGGTCTTGACTGGAAAGTGACTGAAATTATGGATGATAGATTCTGGGCTGGAGAGAAAAGGAAGACAAAGAAAATAAATAAATAAATAAAATGAAACACAGGAAAAGTAGAACAATTAATGGCCTAAAGGTCCCAATGAAGTTGAAGAACAGAATGGAGTAACTGAGCAAGCGACTTTAAGAATAAAGACTGGGGTCAGAAAAGGACATCTCAATGTCTCAGTTACTAACTTCAGAGGTCCTACAGTTTGTGGTGATAAGGACCAGGGTAAGACAGTAGGGATGAATGCTGAAGTAGAGTGGAAAGGATTGCTAAAGATGAAGAAATCAAGAAACTGAGAAGCCCGGGGCTTGGAGAGGTTTTTATTACAGATACTGAAGTCATCTAAAATGATATATAGTAAGACATGGAGTACAGAGAAGGGTTATGATCTGCGTGCCAAAGTCTTAGACAACTGAGGAGTGGTGTCTAGGACAGCTGCAGCCAACAATGTCATGAAGGGATTTTGGAGGAAAAGAACAGGAAAAACAGTTCTGAAATTTGATCAAGCCCTTTCTTCTATAAGCTTCACTCACATTTCTTCCCCTGATTTACGTGGCTCTAATTTCTAACACTTACTTTCCAAATCACAGATGGACTGCCAAGGATCTTCCATTTTGCTCCAGGATTTTTTCCTTGAGCACTGAAAATTTCAACAAATGCACCTCCCTAAAAAATGAAAACAAAATATTTAAAGTAAAAGACAATGTTAACAAGGAAGTATTATCCAACACACAGTCCATAACCACTGTTCCCAGCATCCGTCAGTTAAATTGATCTGGGATGAAACATTATCCCTGTTACTACGCCTACTTTATACCTGGATTGTATCTAAACCACAACCATTCTAATTTGGGTCACCATGGATTAATGGTTTAAATAATCTATTTTTAAAGCATGACAAACATTAAATAAATTGTGCCATACAAACCTTACAGTATCTCAGTGTGGGACTTATTTACTTGATGCATACAGATCATTCTTACAAAACATTTTATGTTTTACAGACTGTGTTTTGCAACCTACACTAAGGGGTTTAAACCCAATTCTTGAATCAGGCCAATACATTCAGGCAGTTTTCTTTGAATACAAGTTTTCCAGTCATACTGACTGGGGCTCCAACACTGGCATTTTAAATATCTGACCTCAGAGTTACTTAACTTCTTGATTCTCCACCTGTAAAACGGGTTGTTGGTTACATAAGATACTAAACATTAACCCTCAAGCACAATACTCAATTCACAGCAGGGGCTCAACAGCACTATCAAAGATGTTCAAACAATGGGGAGGGAAATTAAATAGTTTAGTACCAGTCTATAAAAGGCCTGGAAGTAATTTAGGGAAGTCTTATTTTGAGCAAGGTATTTTTATATATGTAATACAAATTAATGTGAAGATCTATAAAATGTGTACAAGAGAAATTAAATATCATTTCTACAGACAGGCTACTGGTTCCCCATTGTAAACATGAGAACATGAAGGGACACACTTATGTAACCACACTGAAGATATTACTGAATGTCCATAAGCTTTAATTATTTTAAAAAAGGGAAATTGGTTGGGAGCTGTGGCTCACGCCTGTAATCTCAGCACTTTGGGAGGCCGAGGCGGGTGGATCACAAGGTTAAGAGATTGAGACCATCCTGGCCAACATGGTGAAACCCTGTCTCTACTAAAAATACAAAACATTAGCCTGGTGTGATGGTACGCGCCTGTAGTCCCAGCTACTCGGGAGGCTGAGGCAGGAGAATTGCTTGAACCAGGAGGCAGAGGTTGGAGTGAGCGGAGATTGTGCCACTGCACTCCAGCCAGACAACAGAGTGAGACTTCGTCTCAAAAACAAAAAGAAAAGAAGAGAAAAGAAAAGAAAGGGAAATTAAATTAAGATGTTTATCTCTGGGGAAGAATTTATTGCAAAAAATGAGAATCTGATATGAAGACTATGCTTTGAATTACAAACAATATGTGAGCAAATCTAATTTCTATAAGGAATTTCCAGCTTTTAATTTTTCTTAGTAATATAAAGATATTTTTGCCTCTGAGTTGTAACACATAACCACTTGAAGGTAAGACACTGAATATCTTCTTCCTTAGGCAGAGTTATGTGCAAACTGTATATGGTATAGAATTACTATAGCTTATGAGGGCAGGTCATATTTCACTATGAATTTTAAATTTGAGACAGCTAGTTGTTTTAAAGGAGAAAAATCCTCATACTTGGTGAGACAGCAAACTCTCCCTGCTGCTTTTTGCTTTCCTGTGTTCTCCAAGTTCCCTGTAGTGGGCACATGGTTTTTTCTTTGATAATATACTTTAAGAAGTGAGACAAAATCTCTAAAAGTGTTCTAGCCCAATCAGTGATATCGAATGGGATAAAAGAAAGAGAATTGCAGACTACTCCGAGGACAGTACCAAGGAGGCAGGTAGTGTTGGGTGAAAAGGCAGAAGCAATAAAAAGGTGGAGACCAGTGGAGGACTGATTAGATACAGTAAAAAACATTCATCGGAACAGCCGGACTAGCATCATAAACATACTGTAAACAACAAGTGTAACCTCATGCAGAGGTGAGGAGGGGAGAGCAGGAAGGGAGATGTCCAGTGAGGTGAAGAAAGCAGGTCATGCACGGAGACACTCTACGATACTCAAAGTGACTGAGGACGACCCAGAAGCAGTGTTTCTCCAAGTGTGAGCCTTGGACCCCCTGCAGAGGAATCACTTGGGGGAAGTAGTTAAAAAGGTAAATCAAGTGACCCCCATCTAGAAATTCGGATCAGAAAATTTGCATTTTTACAAGTACCCCAAGAAATCCTGATGTACTCCAATGTCTGAGATTCACTGACTCCCAGTTCTGGAAAAATAAAACAGTTCATAGCAAAAGTGCTTATTTTCTTTCTTGGTGTAACTAATGCATCGATTCACTCATTCACTCTTCTAAATTGCTTCTGAGATACCAGTGTTGAATGAATATTGAGTCTCGAAGGCGCTTGTTAAAACTCAAGATTTCTGGGCCCTGCCCTCAAGATTCTGATTCAGGAGGTTTCAGGGGGGCTTAAAATCTGCATTTTAAGCAGAATCGCAGACAATTAATTCATACACCTTAAGGAACACTGAGTTGGAGAGTGAACAAAAGCCAAATCATAGGCCCTAGACATTTGTTTTGCTTTCTCTCTGGGTCAATAGCATTCACTCATTAATTCTCTTACCCACGAAAAAGACCGTATTATGGGGGTAGAGGGTGCACTTTATCCTCACCCCGACCATGGGCTACCTTACCCAAGAGGAGAAAAATATAGACAGGTTGGAGAACCGTTTCGGGTTACCTGGTACTCATTTTTGAACATTCCCGCAGGGGTCCCAGGGCTTGTGGGGCACAGAGTTCAGGGTTTCCAGCGAGTGGAGTGACCCTGACGGCTGGAAATCGGCTGACGGGAACCCAGGAGCCCAACGGGCGGGGAAGGGCTTCGTGCTTGGCCCCGACTTGAGCAGGCTCTTCTCAGCCCCTCCGGCCCCTGGTCAGCTCCATCTCGGGCCCTCGACCCGCACCATTGCGGCCCCAGACTCCGGGGTGCCCGGGTCTGGGGAGGTCGCAGCTGCCTGGACGGGCTCCGGGCCGTCCTAGGGAGTGATTGTGTGCGTAACCTACGTGACCGGGGCGCCCAGCGGAGCCACCGACAACCGACCGTTCGCCTAGAAAACCGGGCGCGCTCCTGCTGCCGCCCCACCCCGGAATCCGACAGCGAGAGGGCAATGCGGGGCGCCACTAGCGTTCCGGCCGCGCCCATTGGTTCCCTCTGGGCGCCTGCGTATTGCGCTCTCCGGGCTTAAAGCCAACGGGCACGGAGGCTACGCGGTGACGTAGCGTTGCCCAGGCAACCGCGGGACTCCTGAAGAAATGGTGGAGGCTCCAAACAGTGACCAGCAGCACTGCCCTTAGGTCATGACCTCTGCCGGCTAAAAAGCCTAAACTCAGCGTGGATTAGGGCTATGCCAGGTACTGGACTCTTCTAGTGTACCTGCCACATTGGCTTGGTCTCTACTCGTGGTAAACATTGATAATAACTGGTAGGTTCCTGAAGGAGACAGTCATAGACTCATGGAGCCCTCACGAGGCCTTTGGTTCGAAGGTTCCCAAATTTGGGTTCGTTGAGGCAGTAAGAGGGTCTGCTGGACCCTTTCATTGTTTCAGAAGACCCTAGGAAGCCAAGATTTTTTTGTTGAAAATAACTTATGTTATCGAAATTAGCACTCGCTTAAGTGTAACTATTGTTACTTTATTTAGTTTCTAGATCAGAACCACTTCTTACATGGAAGGTACTATTGTTAATTTTTGGCTAAGGAACTGTGGCTCAGAAAGGTTAAATGGCTTGGCCAAACTCATATGGCAACAGTTAGAGATTCTTGTCTGACGCTGTACTCACGGCTGAGTTAGGTCAATGGCATAGGTTAATCCTCATAAAATCCCTGCTATAGGCCGAGTGGCTCACAGGTTCACAGTTCTGTGAGGTGAGGGTTTGTCTCCTTTCATTTGAGAAGACTGAGATTCACAGTTATTAGGAATTTACTCAAGGATGCAGTGTTGAGTTTCATTTATGTTTTAGTCTAAGGCCCAGTATCATTTTACTTCACCTGAAACCCTCAAATACTTATTGTCCTATCATATGCCAACTACTATGGATTATGTAAGGGATGCAAAAATGAATGTTATTTGGACCCGCTCCTTACCAAAGATAAGAAGAGCAGGTAAGGAATAAACCCTCTTGAACATTCTAAGCCAAATAACAGATGGAAGGGAAATAGAAGTGGGGCCATGGCACAGCTATACATTGCAGTATAGTGTGTAGAATCAGACTTCCTGATTTCTAGACCATCAAATTTAATTCAACAGCAGTTTCTTGCAAGGCTCTGTGCTGGAAGCTTTGACAATTGTGATCAATTGACGTGGTCTCTGTCTTATGTAGTTAAGTTTATGGGGGACATTTACCCACTAATTGTTTTAACAGATAGTTTCTAGGAACATAAGATGTTTCAAATACTATGCTAAGAGACCGAGTGTGCACTGAATGGCCCCACCTTCATGGATCTTACATAGGAGAGTGAGACAGATGATAAATAAAATAGCAAATAATTACAACTTGTGATAAATATCATGAATTCTCCTGAGAGTAACATTGGATGAGTACATTAGTTTCCTGTGGCTGCTATAATATTACCTCAAAAGGAGTAGCTTAAAACAGCAGAAATTTATTATCTCATGGTGTTGGAGGCTGCAAGTCCAAAATCAGTGTCAGTAGGGCCACACTCCCCCTGGTGGCTTTAGAGGATAATCCATCCATTCTTTGCCTCATCCAGTTTCTGGTAGCTGTTGGCACCCCTTGAATTGTGGCTCCATTTCTCCAGTCTCTGTCTCACCTCCATGGTCACATTGCCTTCTTCTCTTCTGCCTGTGCGTCTCTTATAAAGAGGATGGTAATAGTATTTAGGACCAACTTTGATAATCCAAGGGAATCTCTTTATTTCAAGACAATTTAATCACATCTCCAAAGAAATAAGGAAACTTTTACATGCTCCAGGGAGTTGATGTGATTATCTTTTTTGGGCCACTGTTAATCATTAGAATGGCAAATGGTGTAATGAGAATCCGGAAAGAATCTAGGGGACATCTTATGGCTTCTAACAATATACCTGTGTCTCTGAAAAGGGTCATTTGACACCATAGTTGAAATGAAATCCACAACTTTGCCCCACTTTATATTCTTTCTACCTCTTATGATTTCATGAGTTACTTAATATGTGTATCATTTATCTTCAACTAAAAGGGTAAATTAATAACCTCAATTTATTGATAAAAATGAGCTACGGAGTTGAAAATGAATAATTACAGTGAATTGGTAAGTCTTACTACTTAGGTGTTTGTGGTTTTGATCACCTGTTTATTCAACTTAAGACTAGAAGGAAACAGTGTCCATTTATTTCAATGTCCTTACTTCCTAAAGAGAAAATAATAGTCCGAAGCCAAACATTGTATCCTGACCCTCCTAACTTCTAACAAGTTCAGGAGACTTAGAGTTGGATTTTCATTAGCAAATATGGTATAGGGCCAGTCCAGACAGTGGGCGAATCTGAAAGCTGCCCAAGTTTATCAATGTTATTTTGCCTATGGTGAGAGCCGCCATTAATAATGACAATGGTAGCAATAAAGAAAAATTAAGAATGTGCAGTACTTTAACAGTATGAATTCAAAATCAGAGAAAGGAGGAAGTCCAACGTTACAATAGCAAGTACTCTTCAATTTGGTTGAATGCAAGCTATGAACAAAAACGTGGATTTGACTATGACTTGAAGGATATCCAGCAGTATTCTGAAAAAAAGTAAAAAGCCAGCCTGCCCAAACAACTTGGCTTAAACCAAGTTATTTATGTTCATTATAAAAGACAGTGAAACAATTTCTTTAATTGCTACAATTTTTTAAGAAGTTGGTACATTTAGTAATTGCATTAAATTGCTTAACTTAATTTGACAACATTAAGAATTAGTCACTTTACAAGCTGTAAAGTGCTTGCCTTTGTTCTACAGAGAAAATAATTTGAAAAAAGAAAGTAATTTGGTGGTATATTAATATTAAACGATATTGGCTAGTATTTAAAATGGAATAGACTAGAAACTGTTTTTAAAGGGTGGTAGTGTTTGTGGGCCAATGTAGCCATTCAAGTTAAATGAGTATGATTTTCAATTTGACAAGAAATAATATTCTTTTGATCTAAGAATATACTGTATTTACCACAATATTGTTGTAGTTTATATTTTGGTTACAGTACATAGCAAATTATTTGCCTGATAGGAAGAAATAAGATATCTGTTTCATCAGAATTTGTTCTGATGCACAATAACATAGAATGTTGACTACTTGAAGGGTTATTTTAATTTTTATGCATTATGGAATAGCTTTATGAGTGATAATGTTGATAGGAAAATTTTGAAACTGGGCCTATTTTATAATTTTAAGCAAGAAAAATTAATGCTACCAAAGTTATCCATTTGACAGTTGATTTGAGAATGGTGGTGTCTTCTCTTTTCCAGCAAGTATGGAATGGTGAAAGTTTTTGAGGGTTTTACTGTTTTTAGATTTTCTCCTCAAATGGGTTTTTCCCCCTTCCCAGGTCCACAAGATCCTATGGGGACCATTTCTTACCTGTACCTATACATTACCAAGTACTTCAAGAGTCATACATAAATTTAAAATTTCTAAAACCAGCTACCACTTGAAAGCTTTCTCAGGAAAACAAAACAAAACACAACTGTCCCAGTAGTTGGATATTTAGCTATGAATACTTTCCTAAGTAAAGCAGTTTTACATAGCAAGCACTTAGATTTAGAAAAATAAGCCAACCGCATCTTTGAACGGAATAAATTAATTGAGTGGATATTTAGTACTGATGTTTTTACAATTACATAAATGGTCAAGGCTTTTAAAAGAAAAGTTAGATCTAAGTAGCAAGTTTTTCTTGGATAACTTTCCCTAACCTAAAGTCAATTAGTGTTGATTTGTGATAAGAGGGCTGTAGAAAACTGGATGTCTACATGAGAAAGAATGAAATTGGACTCTTGCTTTACTTTTTAACTTATATAAATGAATTAGCTCAAAATGAATCAAAGACGTAAGACCTAAAACTATAAAACTCTTATAAGAAAACATGGCCAGTCGCGGTGGCTCACGCCTATAATCCCAGCTCTTTGGGAGACTGAGGCGGGGGGGGATCACGAGGTCAAGAGATCGAGACCATCCTTATCAACATGGTGAAACCCCGTCTCTACTAAAAATACAAAAAATTAGCTGGGCATGGTGGTGCGTGCCTGTAATCTGAGCTACTCAGGAGGCTGAGGCAGGAGAATTGCCTGAACCCAGGAGGCGGAGGTTGCTGTGAGCCAAGATCGTGCCATTGCACTCCAGCCTGGGTAACAAGAGCGAAACTCCGTCTCAAAAAAAAAAAAAAAAAAAAAAAGGAAAACAAAGAAAACATAAGGGGAAAACTTCATGAGATTGGACTTTGCAATGATTTCTTAACAACCTAGAGTAGATCCAGCTGCATCTAGCGGTCAAAAACATTGTCAGGTTTTCTTTCTCCACATTGCTTCCTCTGGGTTTTCTCAGTCCTTAGACTGGTTCTCTTTAGGTTAACAAAATGGCTACAGCATTCTCAATTTTACATTTTTATATCACTAAATAGAGCATTTGGGGCTAAAGTCCTGAAGTTCACCTTCATTCAGATCAGTTTAGGTGATATGCCTATCTCTGAACAAACTCTGTGATCTAGAGGCTATATGCTTAAGACTAGATTAAGTGTTTATTCTTAAACCAGTCACTGCAACTAAGGAAATGAGATCTATTGATTGGCTGGGAATGGGGTGCCAACCAAATATATAACTAGGAATGGGGAAGGATTGCTTTCCTAGGGAAACTCT